TGCAGTAGGGCCCATGCCCCATGACCATGTTCCGGTAGAATGATTCAGTGTTGCCGAAAGCGACAAAAGCGCCCTTCCGACCGTGCTCCCCGCTGCTGCTGAGGGAACAGACGACCTTGACGTCTCCGCAATAGTGCGTGCCGTCCTTGCCAATGTTGTCCGCGTCCACGTCGGGTTGTTTGTTGCTATAGAATCCGCCGAGATACAACTGCCGAGATACATATCGCCAAGCATCTCGGCTTGACAAACTTGACACTCCCTGGAAACTGCTACTCCTCCGCGGCGCCGCTATCCATATCAGAGGGCGCCTGGGTCTAAATTTAGTGCGTGTGAAGGGCTCGCACCTCAACCTCTCACAGACCAGCGCATAGCGCCATAGGAAGTATTTTCTTCTCATAACAAGGCTGTGAATGAACTTTAGTGATAGTTTAGTGCGCTATTTAGTGTGTGTTCGAGTACGTATATAGCGCGACTTTAGCGCGACTTTAGCGCAAATTTAGTACAAATTCAGCACATATTTAGCACATATTTAGCACATATTTAGTGTGTTTTATCTGATATCTCCAATTTAGCGCCACATTTAGTTCACTTTAGGTGCGGGCAGCTGCACATTTGTTGTCCCGCATCTTTAGATAGTGCGGGCACGCATCTTTAGCACGGCTTCCCAGCCACACCACAGCTAGCCAGGGCCGCGTGCTTTGCTCCTTGGCTGCCAAGAATGCACCACAGGAGATGCCTGGCCCCTGCCCTCATGACCCAAAGGTAGGCTGCCTTCTCCCTCTCAGCGATCCTGTGCCGTCGGTGCCCATCTCCTGCAGCTGAAAGGCTTGTGTCGGCGGGGCGCCAGGCTGCATGCGGTGAGCGATCTGAAAGTCAAGCACCGTGCACAGGTAGTCCGCAGCTTTCTCTTCGGCCGTCATTCGCCCTTCCCAGAACGACCCGGGGAACTTGACCTGCGTGCCGAGAAGACTCATCGGCTGCCGAAGCAGCTTGTATTTTGGCACATCCTCTAGCCGAGGCTGGGCTCTTCCCTTCCTCTTTGGTGGCATATGCGAAGCGCTGGAGCAGAGACAGCGGTCGGTCGACAGGGAGCGCGTTTTGGGACTCTGGGATGAGTACGTAGTATTCATGGACTTGAGTACATTGAGCTCACGCATGCGCCAGCCGTACGGCTCTACTCATGAGTATGAATACTCAACTGCGGTGGTACTAATGAGTTGAGTACTGTACTCACGATGCACGTGTATTATGAGTACAATGTGCGCGGCCGGTAGGCCACATGCTCATGCACATCCCCCGCGGCCGCCCCGGAAAATGGGGAGAGCCAGTTTGGGACGGCGACAGACGAGAACACGAGATACGTCGCGCACTCCACGTGCAAGAACGCAGAGGTATGACTTTGAGGGGGTCCGGCCCCCAAGCGGTCCGGCTCACACACCCCGAGCTGACCCTCTACCGCACGGTACCCTTTCGCCCCTTCCCCCCGATCCATCCACCTCGCCGAGCGCTGCTTCAGTCGATGATAGCCTGGGCGACAGCTGCCTCGGCGCCGCGCGCGTGCGTTGGAAATGCGAACGGCGCCTCGGCGGTGATCTCTCCGGCCTCCGACTTTGGACGCACCAAACGCAAGTACGCGAGCGCGTACCTCCGCCCCAGCTCGTGCTGCGAGGCGGTGCTGAAGTGAAGCCGGTCGCCCTTGTGCTCCAAGCCGTGCGCGCTCACGCACGCCGCCGCAGGCAGCCGCTCTGGCGCCGCGACGGTCCCGGCGTTGACGGTCGCCGCGTGCGCGAAACGGCCGTCCCTCTGGTCGAGGAAATAGCCCAACTCGCCGAGCACCACGGGAAGCGTGGGCGAGCCGAGCCTCTCTCGCAATCGGCCGAGCGCCTGTTCACAGCTGCACGCGTGAAGAGGCGCCGTTCCCAGCCGAGCCGCCCGCGCAACCGCCCAATCGCCCGCGCGCATCGGGCGGCGTGCGAGCGTGCGAGCGACGCGTCGCCTGCAGGAAGGGTCTGAGGAAGGTCCGAGGAGGGGTCTCTGCCCAGACCGGCGAGGTTGCGAGCGACTCGTCGCCGCAATCCGACTCGCCCTGATGCCAGAGCAAGCCTGCGAGCGTGTCGCCCTCTCCCAGACTCGCGGCCACCCTCTTCACGGCCGCCTCGAACAAGTCGCCTGCAGGACAGCTCCGAGAAAGCTCGAGGAGAGGCGCCCGCTAGCCCCTCCACACCGCCGCCTCGCACCACTCGCCTCCCTCCTCCCACCTCGCCAGCTCGCTGCCTAGCTCATCCCACGCCCCGGTGAATGAGAGCCGTCGGCGAGGCGTCTCCCCCGCGTGGCAGAGCTCGCTACCCCCACACGCGCACGGCACGAGACCGACCTCTTGCGCAAAGCCCCGCCGCAGCAGCTCGCGAGCGAAGGAGAGGCCAGGCCCGGCCCCCGCCTTGAGGCAGGCAGGCAGGCAGGACGCGTCACGGACATGCACGTGGCATGAATGTAGCAAGCGTGATGACACCCCCCCC